AAGCTAGGTGACGCAAAGTTTCCTTTAAATTTATTTGTTTTGAACGATATAGTTTCTTCATTTTCAGTGCATGTTTACTTTACCTACATACATACATTAAATGTAGGCCCTTTCAGGGCAATCCCAGTTGGGAAGACAGAGAAAATTTAAAGGAATTTTCGTCCCCTAACCCCTTCGGGGAGGATAGCATACGGCCCCAGAGCTGTTCGGGAGGGTGAACGGCTTGAGTTCATCCAGTTTCTCGACGAATCGTGTATAATTACGACAGTATGTGAATCGCTAGTCGTAAGGGGTCTTGCATGAACCAGACCTACTATCTCTTGGTAGCTTTCCATGGGTAAAACGTTGGAAAAATGATGCAACAGCTTGGGCTATAGCAGCTAGTCTTGACCCAGGCTCGAAGACAGACAGCTTTCTATTCCGAAGAAGGTGAGGACAGTTAGAAAGACCAACTTCTTCGGGGACGTCTGAGTACTATTAATCGTAAAACTTCTATCAACGGCGGCACCCTGTACAAACGAATAGCTTACTGGTATGCGTCATAGGCAAAATGACTTTTTTGATCCACCTGTGTAATAACACATACGTTGTGTAGACTACAGAAACTCTGCTTCAGAAGACTTAGAACAAAGTTTCTCGGTCCCTAACTCGGCTGACTAGCTCCGTTCGTAAGCGCAAGCCGTAACAGCAGCGCGATTACGCGCAACTCGTGTGTCAATTGCCGGAGCAAATACCACTCACGTCTGACATCAGACATATTATGGCGCGTTCCAATGACAATACCGATCCAATTTCCGCGTGCAAGGAACGCAACGAAAGGAAAGAGTTTCAGAAGCGGTTACCAACCGATCTGCGTTTATCCTGACTTTTTGGTGCATTGACGGTCGGCGCCATGTTCACCAGCTCATCAAGAACTCTAGAACTTGCGAACTTTCCCTGCCCACTCCGTCCTTCACACTAACTAAGCATAAAGGATAAAAGGATAAAGCATTTGCCGTTGATCAATCCCTTTTTGGGATGCGGCACGCATTCTACTTCCATTTGTACATTCGTAGTGGCGTTTGAATGCGATGTGGCCTATACAATGACTTGCGGGGCCAGCCGATGTACAAGTCAGTGTTTTTATCCTCCCAGACAAGTCTGGTACCAATTAACCGACCCCGGAGGGATGGAAGGCTTGGTTGGCCCGGGCGACCCAGGATTCGATTCTCGGACGGGGGAGCGCGTCGCCAGCGTTGAGGTAGGATCTACCCGCACTTCGGCGCCCCTTAAGCACATAAAAAGAAGATTCTATCCAAGTATGACGCTCATAAAAGTCGCGGGGGATGGTCAGAGAGGCACCCGATTCGGGCCAAAGGCATCCATCCGCCAAACGTCGTATGTGACAGATTCTAGAGGTCCCTCAGCATATTCTCGCGTCAACTGACCACTCCGACCTCATCACGCGTTTTTCCATGCAACGTTATGAGTGCGCCAGATCATAACGGGGACCGCTCGCCAAGAGACTTCGCAAAGACACCGCGTCAGCATTTACGACGTGCATGCATGACATATGACGTTTGATAGTAGGAATACGCAGCCATAGGTCATCTCAACGGCTCGGACGTTTCAGAAAATTGTGTTCTTTGAGAAAAATCCTGTCAAAAGGGATAGTTGTTGCGCACGGCGGACTTATGGGGAAGGGTTGAGAGAAACCCAGGACGCTTATAGAGGCCGACACAGTTATAAAAAAGTGATGCAGAGACCGGTTCTCCTTGGACGACAGGAAGATTAGCGGTTGGTGAACAAGGTTGAGAAAAACTTCCAAGACGGCGCGGTACTAAAGTCCGTTGGAGTAATGGAGAGCAACCAAAAACTCGATTCAAGAAAGCAAAGATCTAATCTGATCTAGGGATGACAGAGCATCTACCAACTGCACTCACTCCATCTCTATTAATTGGTCTTACTTTTTCTAGCTTGTATGTATCGACAATGTTATAGGATGTGGCTCTTCGTGCATCCCTGCCACATTCGCTTTCAACCAATGTGAGCAGAAGGAGCCTACTTCAAATTTCGCTCTTTCATGTAGGATAGGTAGAATTGACACAACTACTAAACTTACGAACAAGTTGATGCCGTTTATCTGCCCTTCTTGGGAAACAAAAAATGCTTTTCCTTCAACAAGCGAATATGTATTCTCTGTTGTAGCAGACTCCTCGACCAAAGCCACTACCAGTAAAATGAGATAGGATGCAAGGCTCGAACATCATCATGCATGATCATCATCTGCGCATGAAGCTCCGTTATCCACTGCCTTGCGTACTACCGTTGTAGAAAGGATCAAAAGGAGAGAGAAATCAATGAAGGTTTGACTTCAGATGGTGAGCCGCTCAAGAGCTTATGTTTTTTCTTTAACTTCACCACTTGGAATCACAAGTTCCCATTGTTAATTAAGCGAATTATGCAACAGCGACTTTTCATTCCTCTGTATCCTTATGTTATTGGGAAGAATGCCCACCAGTCTGTGGATCGAGCCCTGATTCCGAGAATATCTATGCCTAACCTGCAAGCAGGAGTAAACAAGGGCCTTCACATATGCAGCGATAATTGTCTATCCATTGACGGTCAGCGAGACGTCGTGCTTATGAATGATAGATGATCACCTACAAAGTACCCCAACACCCATTGTTACCGTAATCCCTAGGGCGCGAGTAATGCGTCAACAAACATCGTTAACAGGTGTCCAGGTGTGCTTATATGGATGCATGTGTGTAGATGGTGATTTACGAGGGAATGCTGGATAACCCAGATTGCACTCGTGAGAATGCTTCAGAGCAATGTGCGACAATGGATGACAAAATCGTAGACTGATTCCATAAGATCCTGGAAAGCTCCTCATTTCGAGAACACCATTCAAGGGGCTGCTTTGTAAAGCCCCGGTAAGTGATTCCTTCTGCACCTAATTGTTCAACATTGTCTGACAAATGTGGCCGTAGAGTTTGGACGTACCCCTTCTTTTCATACATACTTCCCACTGAAATGTGCAATGAACTAAGAAAACGATATACCTGGAGCTTCCCTACATACAGTAAGCCCACTGCCTTCTGTGTACATACCCAATTTTCGTACACCATTAGGCGCTATCGTAGTATTCTGGGGGTTGTGGTGGCAAAGCATTTGAAACGGAAACATCTCCTTTTTGGTAAAATTTGGACTCAACCTTAGGCATGAGAGGAGTGGTTCCAAAGTACATGGACCATTTTCATTCTTTCCCGGATTTTCTGCCCCCTCCTAAGCTTACTCAGAAAGGATGCCCCGTGTATATTGCGTTAGCGCCTATGCTTATTTGATTCGCAGACCAAATTGTATGCAGAGCAGTTTCCAAGTCGATCAACATTCAGCCCTTTGACAATTTTTCAAAAATTATTCGGCTCAAATTCATCGCATGAATATTTCAGTTGGGTAATACGACCTGGAAAAGGTCTCGACAGTTGGGTTCGTAGAGTTTCTCGAACAGTGTGTTCTATGCCAGCGCGAATTGTACACCTTTGCCTCACCTCGTTGACATCCATCCATTCCCGGCACATGCACCCATCCAGCACAGCATTCGGCTACCGTATGCCGTCGCGTTCGATTCACTTTTTTGTACGTGTGGAAGTAGACCGTTCTGAAAAAAAATCTAAATTGTTCTGGAAAAGGAAAGAATTTGAATTTTGAAGTCGCGGCTTTTGCTCAAAATCGAGTGGAATCGAAGGTGATGCACTCAGCTTATGATTATCTTAGTACAAAAAGTAATACAAATATTTTCTTCCATTTATTACGCCAATTGCGTCGCAAGAAAATCTTCCTTTATCTACCACACCATGGTTTCTTATACTGTGAAGGAGGTGACCGATTTCCTGATACAATTTTTTGAACAGCTACTCTTTACTGGGTGTCGGTAAGTGTGAGACTAGAGTTAGCGCAAATGGGTCAATATGTATCTTTTACAAAAGGTATTAATCGAAAGCTCTAGAGCATAAAAAACATAAAAGAAAAGAAAAAAGAGAACGCAGTTGCGCCGAAAAAAGGATCCGAGGGGACGGTGTCACGTTTCAGCTGCCCTCCCTGGAAAAGCAAGCATTCCCTATGCTTTTCAAGAACTTCTCCTATAAATGCTCACAAAATACTGCACCATGAAATTCTGATGGTTTCAAGGAAAAATTCTGTACATTTCAAAAATGGGTTGACCAAAATGGATGGGTTCAAAATCGCTTCATTCGAATTCAATTGCTTATGCTGATGTACCGTGATTAATCACGGGTGACTCATCCTCGAACGTCTTCATTTGTTTGAAAGGGGATTGAATTCAGTTCAATTGGCTATGGTGTGACTCCAAATGGATGGCATTCTCAGAGATGTCGCGTTTGCCATAAATATCCGTCACAGGCCGATCCATACAGTCTCTTTTTTCCAGAAAAGCAAAATCCCAGTGACGCCGATCCCACGCATCAGTGGAGCGACTCATCCTCGGTACCCTAGGTTAATTATAAGGTGCAAGCCTATGACGTAAGGGCTCCCTGACGTCAAAGGTCATTATAGTCAAGCGCTCTACTCAAATATAACAGTAATTGCAGTAGAGCACAAACGATGATGGATCGTCTAAGACACTGAGATTTCTTGAAGAAAACCAAGCTGATGAAAAGCGTTACACCACATTTCTTGTAAATCAAAGCAATTTTTTATATTCTTATACAGCTATCATTTTTGAATCATTCTGAAACATCCATAACCTCATAGTAATGATCTCAAGTGCGGAAACTCACTTTGGTTCTCGGACAGAACAGCTCTTGAACTGTCCATTGCAGCCCGGTTTCCGCGTCCGAACATACTTTGTGTATCGCTCCACGCACGGCTGCTTCACGGTTACTATCTCCACTTCCTCGTGAGGACAGACATTCCTCCTAAATAAATAAAAAACTATTGCTGTCGTGGAGCGATGGAAATGATAAGCTACTCCATCTTCACAGCGCATGCCCAAAAGTCAAAGCGGCTTAGGACCAACTGTCGAAGTCGCTCTCCTACTCGTGAGGTTCTATCACGCCTCGCGCATAGCAGATACAGCTACAGGTTCTTTAGAATGACAGTTGGACTTCATGCAGCTAGTTCAACTCATGCTTAATATATACAATAACCCTACAGAGAGCTACTGAGTCATTACGAACTGGAAAAGTTGGGCAATCTACAGTATCTACAGTAATAGGCACTATAGATGGCTCGGAACAAGATCCTCACCCTGAATGAAGTCTGATAATCACTGTATACCTAAATTACTCTTAATAGAGCACCTCATTTTTTATCCACCCCATTCACTTTAAGCCCACAACCGTAACTAACCTGCATGACCTCATGCCAAGAATGTCCACGTATAAAATCGTGATTCTCGTGATCGGACCGCTTGCTAATCCTTCAGTTATTTCTACTTCGTTATGAATACATAGACTAAGAATGATGACCTTACTAACGGGCATTTGGCTGATAAGTTATCAGTGGCTCTCAAAGGTCATTATGCGCATGAAGGAGTTCCGCGGTGGCCGTCGGTGCGCTAACGGAACCCATTAATTTTAATGTGATGCTCCTGTCAACACGAATGGAGCTACCACAACAAGATAACCATGAGAAGACCACCGAATGAGTGATAAATTCAATACGAATCTAAAGAATCCGAAACTAGATGATGATGTCATAAACTTCCAAGTCTAATAAAATATATATTATTGTGGATCGCAGGCGACGGAGCAAAACACTTCGCTCCAGTGCGAAAATTAATCCTGGAATCGCTTTAGTGGCTAGCAGCAGCACTTCAGTTATCCCGCGGCTAAGCTGAAGGTACATACAGGCTCGATTTACGCCTGTTGTGAAATGGTTTGCTCAAACTTAGCTCTGTTTTATAATAAGTATTTATGCTACATTCGGCTAAGGGAATTTAGCATTAGAGAGATGATCGAAAGTCTCACAATAAAAAAATGTTTGCATAACAAAGGGATGCCGCGAAAATTAAATTTTCTCCGTATCTAGTTATACTCAGTACTCCGAAAGCAGCTGTAATATTCAAGCTTCCAGATTAATTTCGCTTCATTGGAGCAAATCCTGTAAAAGAAATTCTCGACGTCAAATTCGTCTCCATTACACAAGAATGATTTTTCCTCAATGCTAAATCTGAACAGGAAAAATACCGCTGTCAAAAATTAGAGCTGGTATTTTGAGACGGAATTTTGAGCATTTCCCTTCCATGAATCTGGCCGCGAAGCTTTTCACAGAAAAAAACCTCCAACTCGCCCTTCTCGTCTAATTTCGAGGCTCAGATCCGCATATTCTGCTAGTTCTGCGTACTAGCGAACGGGTTCTCAATCCCTGTCATATTCTGCAATAGCATTTTTGATAAGTGGTAGTCTACATAGGCATATCCTCCAATTCTTTCGCACTTGACTGAGCTCGATGTGGTTCGGTTCATTGACTCCGGCCTTTTATCTTCGATAATGGCCACTAACACCTCTCCATGAGAGAACTACTCGTCTATTGCGCAAATCACACTCGATTCTCTTGACGGTCACTCCGTGGTGATACATCATCGATGAGACAGATAAGGTCTCCAGAGCATAAGGTCCGGTTGGTCAGAAGAGCCCTATGGGAACTACGAGTTGCTAAAAGCAAGCCCAAATTGACCAAAATCTGGTCACAAATCGAATTATTCAAATAAAAATATTACATGGAATTGGTTTTTTGCTAATTATAGAGAAAAATTGATGCAGGCATCGTCTATAAGTCAAATTAGACAGCGTAGTGCAATACTCCGAATATGCTCAATCAACAAATGAACGACTCATTGGGAATTTTTGTTCTATTTTACCCTCCTGTTGCGAATTCAGGTAAAGTTTTGTGCAACCAGGGATCAAGTAACCACAGGTTCAATCCCTGAAGTTGCAACATCTTCCTAGCGCCTCAGCAGTGAACGTCTGCTGATTCGTCTGTTGATCTAAGCGGCCGTAAATTGGTCAAACATTGCCGTGATAGCTGTGATATATTGTCTTACCGAGAGCTTATACAATAATAATCTTCCGACAGAGCCCACTTCAAGTAGGGATGGGATATGGGAGGGATACTTGCCACGTTTGGTTGAGTGCAGCCGGTGCACGTAACCCGAACTTGAGCAGGAGTCTTTTTTTAGCAGAACTCACGCAAGGACCACTGAATAGATGATTTTCTTCCCGAACACCCAGCTTCAGGAGGTTCACTCACCAGCACCAAATGTTTCGCAAGCGATTAGTAAAATCCCTGAGTGATGCGATGACTTAGAGGGCGCTCGGAAAGCCGCCAAAAGAATGAAAAATCCTGCGGCGGTTCCCAGAGGGACAAAAGGGTTTACGGTGATAAACTGCGTTCTCTGCCCTCGCACGAGATGTTCTTTGAAGTTGCACTTGCTCTGAAGGAATAGGTAGCGAAAAAAGTAGTACATTTTCAAGTAGTCACTTGTACGGAATTCCACTTTAGTTTTTTTTCTGTGAAGGTCAGCAATAACGTTTCAACGCGATAACTTGTCACTGACAATCTCACTTTTCTCACTGATAGAACCCTGAGGAATGTTACCGCCATCAATTCTTTTTTCGCCCGAGTGTCTCTTCACGAACTTTTCTTCATAGTGTGTGGCGTGGGTGCAGCGCTCTCCTTTACAAAAGTGTTCCTAAGCAGTTCCGTCTACCCCACCTGCTATCAACATTGCTAGAAATGAGTGAACATCTCATTTCGGAACATATTACACCTATTTACAACGGAATCTTTATGGATGGGATTCACGCAGTGTATGAATAACTAAAAAAACGTAAGAAAAAGTAAATTTATGCGAAAAACCTATACACAGTGGCGGTCAAGTAAGGTTTATGCAGAATAAATTTTCTAGCACAGATGCGGTCAAAGTTGAATGAGACGTTTCTGATGTAGCCATTTTTCAGAATTAGTTCAGGGGATGGGCACTCTCCTACTAGCATATTAATTTATTGATTATATCTTTGATCTTTATAGTCCCTAGATTGGGTACAGGATGTGTAGGCTATACTTTCAAGCAAAAATTACCTCCTCGGAGGTGTAAGAACGTCTAAATATGCGAAACATTCGTCGAAAGCCCTGTCCATCCTTTTAAGGTCAGTTCCAGAACACCATTCTATTTCTAACCTTGTGGTCAGTCTTGTAACACGAAAAGTTGGATGAATGTGTCATATATGTACAGGGAGATGGCAAAAACAAGAGACACTGTTTGTCATGGGACATCATCGAAGTAAAAGTTTTCGTCACAAAGGGCCGACCGATCAATGAAGTTTACCGGCGAATATCCTTGAGTACTCCCCTTGAACAAGAGGCAGGGGCCCTCCATTCACTGACCCGCGTATCTTCAGAAGATAACGTCTTCTGCCGCCACCGTCGAGCTCACCGAGGCTCAAGGTAATCGCTCCGGCTCCAGTCAGTCAATTTGATATTAGCGATGTGTGATTAATGCTGTCTTAAATGTGGATAAAGTGACTCTTTCTTTTTGTATATTAGATTTTCTTTACAGGCTCCAAAAAAAGCAGGTGATTTGCCGAGACGTTGAGCAATATAACTCTGTACGCAATCTCGGAGGATAAAACAACAAAGCAACATTTGTGGCACAATTCTTTTCTCACTTTAGCAAATTCGTGTGCAACATTTAATGTCTTTCAGTGTTCGTGATCCTTGATTTTTCAGGATTCAACATTTCAATGCAACGACCCCATACGAGTCTGTGCCGAGGGATCTATTCTGTGGATGCGATAGAGTAGCCCGCGAGTATCACGATGTACCGTTGTCGCGGCTTGAGAAGTTGCGAGCAACAATGGCGGCTGGGGCCTACAGTTCTGACTGACACAACGTGAACTTGGACAAGATACCTCGCATCCCCAACAAGCAATGTGGATTACGACTTAGCGGATAGCTAGCCGATAGGTAGATAGATATGACAGATGTATCACATTGATGCGATTGTGTTGGAAAAACTCGTCCAGACACATCCTTCCTCTCTATCGCTATCTACCCCGTTATAGTCCCCATTCATCAAGGGTGGTTCGCTTCCGAGACAATGTGAATCAACCTAATTTCTTAGTAGTTCTAAAGAAAAAAAGGACCATAGCAAATAAGTGTTGTGCACAATACGTACGTCTTCGTGTAGCGTCTTTACCACTTACGTCTTCACATGTTGCAGTTTACAAGGTGAGTCCTGACACTGACTATTAGAATCAGCAATCCTTCACTCTTTGCCTATTAGTATGCTGAAGCGCATTCAGATTCTGTAGTCACCGCAGAATCGCGTTCTTACGTGACGTTGAAACCACTTTCTAACCTAGGACTGGAAGCTTTTTTACACCCATCGGTTATTAATAAAGATTGCTGAAGGAAGGAAGGAAGGAAGGAAGGAAGGAAGAAGGAGCGGAGATGCTTTGGAAAAAAGTTAGTAACTGCATGCCACCACGAAATGACATCGGCTTGGAGACGCCACAAGTAAAGAGTGATCTTGGAACCAAGGATCGAACCAAGAGCGAGAAATCTTTTCGTCATCTCAGACCATGCAGCTATGAGCTGGAATTTGGACTACGCAAAAAGCAAAAAAAGCGGGGGGGGGGTGAGAAACATTTCCTAAGAGGATTCCATTTCCTTCATTCACTTTTAGTACATCCACGGAGCAGAAGCCCAAGAAGAGGGTATCACGTTTCTTTACTCCTGGCACTAGTTTTTAGTCACTTTTTATTACTTTTGTGGCTAACTGACGAAAAAATGTTAAGGAACTACCCTCCCCTTCAAAAAGCGAGAAAGTGTCGGGTGCAGACCATGCACCACAAGTGACGACCTTCACAAAATGTTAATGTTTCTGCCAATGAAATGATTAGCCTGTTGCAGTTGTATTCTATCGATTGTCACTAATTACAACTATCATTTACCAGAAATCAGCTATCACTATGAACAACTTCT